TTTTGACCAAGGAAATGCAAGTAAATGCCTAGATTGCAAACTTTTCGCTGGTGCCCCTTATTTAGTTCATCTTGTTGTTTCTCTATTTCGTGATTATGTTCGTAATAATAACAAATAGTTTCTAGATCTACTTTCTTTACCATTCGCGAATCTTATAATTTCTATTGTTGCTTCATATTATAAATGTATGGTACCTCCTTTGGTTTCATTCTATTTGCTTTAGTCTTTAAGTTTAATTCGAATAGTCTTAACTTTATCAAGGAATACACTCTTAGAAAATGTATTTCATTAGGGAGTGCCACTTAGATAGAGTAGAAACAAGGAATTTTCAAAGACAATTAGAAAATTAGAAGTACTACTTGTGGTCACATATTTCACTGATCACAGACGGATGAATTCAGATTAATTTAGAAAGAAAAAAAAATTCACCAACCAGCTCTAGGGCTGCTTTTGCGGTGTCGTACGATGAAAAATCTTCGTTTGACGAAACAAAACCAATGTCAGATTCACCAAAGATCGTTTGGGCAATTCTTTGTTATATATCCTAAACGTTTCATTGAAATAAAGGGAAATCGAGCTAGTAAATGGAATTTGGGAGTTTTAATGCAGAAAACAGCGAGAGTCAAGTTATAATAAACGAGACATAAATGAAATCGTTGAGTCTTTGACGTCATGAAGAATTTCTTTGCTATGCGATTGCCGACTCAGCTAGAACATATTTTCAGTAATGGCGGACGACTTTCGGGCAACTTTGGAACGACAAAAAGCGGCAAATTGTATTCGTAATGATGACAACATTGTGTAAACAAAAAAATCCGACAAGTGTCATAAATCTGTTTTGGAATCTTGGTACTGCTAGGCAATCCTTGCCAAATTATTTATGGATAACAGAGCAGGAAGTCTATCGATGTGTGCTTTACGAAATATCTTAAAAATGTCTAATTTATAATATAAGAAAAAGAAGGACCACCGCTCAAAGGCAAGCACCTCACGGTATGTCCTTCGGTAAGTTAAAGAAAACTTAAAACGCTCTACAATGAAGTCTTTCAATCGAATCGAGTAGTCGAGTAGGTCTGAGTTACAACACAAACTTTCCGGAGCTGACGTAACTTCTTTCCTTTCTTGTTTATACCCTTTCCTCCAACGACGCGCTTTTAGAGGCCACTGCAACCTACAACAACTTGTGCTTATTGTTCATTTTATAGTGAATAGTGGTGAAAGGTGCAGATGTGCTGCTGATTTTAACCCTCTTAAAAGGGGCACGTTCATCGTAGATATTGCAAAATAAATGCTGCCAGGGCCAAAAGGCATCGACTTCGTCATCGAATACTGATATTATGTAAAAAGACGCCGTTTCAGCTTCAGCGCCCCAAAATACCATATGATGGTGAACCACCTAAAAAGAAGACAAGAAACAAACAAAAAAGGGAAAAATTAATTTTTATTCGTGTCGTCTCTTTCTTCAAGAATATCAAAGAAAGTGTATGACATGATTTTTTAGAGCAATGTTAGTATCTGAGGCGCTGGGCAACTACCCCTCCCCTAACCCTAACAACAGTCAACTGATAAAAAGTTAAGGTTAATGTTGGGTTAGGGGAGAGGTAAGTGCGCAGTTGCTCAGACACTGGCAAATTTCTGTTTCCCTTCAGACTTAATCGCACTACACCAATTCGTGCATTTTTTAATGCGTAACTTAATTTCAGTTTCCAATCTACCTTGTAGTTTTTCTTCGACAGCAACAGTTTGATTTTTAGTCGCAGTCCGCTATTTAGTCTCTTGGTTGCCCTATTTCACGAAGAGGAAGGTGGCAAGGAGGACTGGGGATCGATATTTCATAGGACCACTACATCCGAGGATCGAGTGGCGTATTTCTCCCATGTAACAAGAGTGGTCATATGAAACAACGACGCCACGATTCCAACCTTTCCAAACTTTGCTGAATGAACTTAGTTCATTAGTAACTTTGGTTTGTCCATATAATTAAAGAAAATTGCCCGTTAGCTCGAAGAAATGAATTTTATGCTCGAGTGGCAAGAACAATATCTCACTCATTCGCTGCGCTGACTCGTGAGATATTGTTCTTGCACTGTGTAATATCCTGTATTCCTTTGACATTATATTCACTCATATTCATATTCACTCTGGTTTTCAGTGCCTGTATTCCCTACTTATGCAGCCGATCTTTTGTTAGTAAAACATAAGCTCTACTTGAAGAAAACCTAAGGCTTCACTGTAAAGTCAAAAGCTATTACGAGAAGTTCCGGTTGCGGAGGTAACATGTTGCCTTCGATGGCATTTTCATTTAATTGGAAAGGAAAAAACAGGAAGCCCGCATTTGATCCAATTTCGTATGAAGTTAAAGGAACGAGCGTTAATGAACAGTATTAGAGGAGACCCGGAGGTCGTGAGCCTTGGAGACAGGAAAATGAGGAAACTCTTATTTACATTGGTTTTCATTGCCTGTATTGCCCATGTATCCAGCTGATCGTATGTGAGTAAAAAGAAGCTCTTGGCAGAGAAGCGGGCTAGACGGGAATTGTCCCCACCATAAATGCCAGTTTAAAAATAAGCACAAAGAAAATAATCGTGTTCCTTCTTTGTTCGACTTCGATCAAATTAATGTGAAAACAGGAGTTTTTCGTTGGCAATATATCTTCAGTTTTAGCTTTGAAATTGCGATATGTCATTAATAAAATAAAAAATAGATAACCATAATCCCAGCTGGTTATGCTGCTAACAAACATGGAGGATTGTAACAAACGTTGTTTCTTTGCTTGATTGCAGTTTGGTGGAAAGGAGCGACTCCGTGAAACCAAGCGAGGAGAGGGCGAGTCAGCGCAAACATGGTTCATCATCACTTCTCATCGTCAGCCGGGTTTGTATAGATGAGTAGTAAGTCTGGTTCATTTACAGTCTTTCCTGAGTATAATTGCTTGGGTGAATTTTGGATTCACGTTGGCGGAGATCGTGACCGAACTCTAAGTATAGTTAACTCTGTTAAGCACATATAAGAAATTCACATATTTGAATCAACAATTTTTTACCACAAATATGTGTTTTGTTTCTTCGTGCAGCGATCTCTCTTTAATTATCTAATCATTTTATTTTTACACTCAGTTGTTGCAGAGCGTCGAATGGAAGACTTAGTCTGTTTAATTTTACCATTGGTTCTTTCAGTGATATCATTAACGCAGTTGTCTTAAGCGATATTTCCCCAATTCTTTCGTTATCCTTCACTCGCCTGAGCGCTACCATTTCCTTCCATTGTTCATTCAGGGTTATTGTAACTGAGGCTCTGCGGGTGGGGCCAGTTTTTTTAGACCAATTATAGAGCGAGGTAAAGCAAAACAATGTATTCTGGGATTACTTTCCTTCGACGCTCTTTAAAAATGGCTCTATCCTTTTTTACGCCTTCACTTTAGGTCCCAGTGAAATGATCGTCTGACGGCTGACACAGAAAACTGAGATATATGCAAAGAAGCCATAACTGCTGCTTAAGTAAATTTAATCAGTGAGGAGACCCGACATAAAAGCTTGACTTGAAGGCCGCAGTCAGCATTTAAATGTAATCAACAATAATGATTTTAAAATAACAATAATATTAATAACAACAACAATAAAAATAATGTCACTAGTATCAATATAATAAGCGACAAGTGAAGTTTACTAAAAATAGTTACAAGGTTTTGCACGGTGGGTTAGCAGACGGTTTTGCCTCTGAGTTTTATAAAGAAGAAAGGTGGAGATGAAAAAAAGGAAAGACGACTGGTTCGATCTCATTGCAAAAACAATGATTCCTAACTTTGAACTTTTATATACTGACATTTATCAGCCTCAAAATTCGGCTAGTATTGTGGTCTATTTCTTTTATAATAAATTGGTGAAAAATTTTTGAGAAATGGCTTTATTTATTACACAAGCCGCTGCCATTTGTGAGATATTTAAAACATCAATGTTAAGCTTATCATAATTGCAACGAGGCGCAATTTATGTTGATTTATGCATCTAATAGTTAATATATAATCTCTTGCTATGAATCAGTTATGCTTAGCATTCGAAAGGTGAACCGAACCTTTATAACTTAATGTTATTTAGCGTTCCTTTGACGAAATATAAAACCCCGGGCTCGTTCGTCAGTAGCACTGTAGTCTTCCTCGCAAGCATTTCAATAAGAGATTTATCACAGTCTCATTAGCTAACTAATTTTTTTCGCAGTCGAGACTGATTACTACATAAGAGTCTCTCATCATGAGTGATAACAGAAAATGCAGCATTTATAGCATAGCACCAGCAACCTTAAATAAAAAGTTTTTTCTGATCTATGTGCTCCGCACGTTTTTCATTCCACCTGTTCTGGTTGCCGCCTTAAAGCTTGTCTCAAAATGAGTTTCTATGCCTCTTTGTTTTGTTATTCAATCAGAGATGCTGTAATGTTACCCGAGGAATAGTTTTCATTGAAATTGGTAATGTTCGTGCTCATATGTACCTTCCATTTTCGTAAAGAGAAAACATCAAAGCTTCTAACGATTTCATTTCGAACGATCTGTCATGCCCAAACATCTCACCACCTAGAACGTTCGATTGTACCACTCTGCCCTAGTCTTCTTTGTAGCCCCCCTTAAAGGTCGTCACACCGCGTGTTCTACCTTAAAGTATGTCTTTCATGTATTTCACTTCATCTCCTGATAACGCTTTATCAACCACTAGAAGATCTCTCATGTACCCATCAAATGTCGGTCTAAGCGTGTTGTCTCGTTTCAACCCAATGTCGAAAACTGTATGACTATTTTTTTCAGGTTTAAAAGACCATCAGAAACTCTCTGGATACCTTGTATAATTCCATCAATGTACAGAATTCCCTCTTTCTTCTCTCGGCTCCAAGTGAGCGCCACGTGCATCCATTCATTGGGGATGATCTTCCTTTGATTATGAGAGAACAGAACACAAAAGGGAATGAGGCTTTGTACAAATCTCCGCTTCTCGGTATACTTCCTAGGAAGATAAATTGCTCTGAGATACACACTTGAGTCCTCTATGTGTCTCTTCCTATTTATTAATATTACGTAGGAAAAGACAAGGTCTATTTTAAGCACTTACCCAGCACAGAGATAAACCCGATCAAGTCCACTAGGTTTTCGAAGATTAGCACAAATTAGATAACTTCGTTGAATAAAGATTCTGAACTGATGCGGTTCTGACCAGTCGGAATAGATATAAACTGGAAGATTACTTGGAAGGCTCAAAACCTTTATCCAACACATGATACTAAAGCTGATAGCTCGGATCGGGAGTGCTGGGGTTTCTGCGTAGGAATGCCAGGATCCATTCAAGTACAGCACTTTCCTGCCATCAGTATTTTGATAGGAAGCACCATTGTATAAACTTTTCAATTCATGAAAATAAGGGAAATAGATTTGTTAACATGCATACCATACCATCTGAAATCCTCTTTACAAGTAGCTAAATGAAATAATTTCACCATTAACTGAAAATGTTTAATAGCGTTTCAACAAAGACAGCTTAATGATCCTCTCCGGGAAGTATTCACTGTATGAGGAAGTCGAAGG